TGATCGTCGAAGCGCCCGTTCCCCTGGTAACCACTTGCTCTTAATTGAAAATCAACCTGATGACGAATCAATAAAAGGGGTGCTGAACGTTTACCACGCCCTACAGTATAACGACAAAAATACCGTAGTAAAAAAATTATTTTTTATATGTAGTAGCAAATAATGTGTTTGAGTTACTAATTAAATAAAAATATTAAAAATTATTTTTGATAATTAACAACTTAATTGTCAACTGTTTTACTTGTAAAAGAATGCAGAATCTTGGCCAAACGCCAATTGGTTAATTTCGTCGGGATTTTCGGATTAAGAGTGATATGAGCTTAACATCTCCAGCTACATTTTGCCAAGCAGCAACGTCAATCGTTAAGGGTGGGCCTTAACTAAAAAGTGGAGATTTTGCCTGGTACATGGATGCTTCAAAGACAGTTGGATCCGGAGTAGGCATGGGCATTAATGGACCAAATAGCCGCATTAATTTGTCCCTCATCTCGGATTAAACCATTTTTCAAACAGAAATTCTTGCTATAAACTTCTGCACCGCTTTGAACCTACAAAAGGGACAGAAAGGTGTATCCATAAACACTTTCACAGGCAGTCGGGCCACCCTAAAGGCAATTCAGATCTACACGTACTTAATTTTAGCTGAAGAATAAAATTGATATATTTTATCTGTTCTTACAATTATTCTATCAAGGAATCCATTGGTTTTTATATCACATTGTTTAACATGGGTTTTAAAATTATTAATAACCATTTCTTCACCTTCACCCTTTCTAGCACCGATACTAAAAAACATTTAAAATAAAACATCGTTTAAGCTGTAATACAGATTTTTGATTAACATTTTAAAACTGAAACGATGAAACTGGAACAAACCTTAGCTTTATTTCTTCACCGTTTTACAAACAGCTACACCACGAAGCATGTTTAAGTCTGGTCTTATCGAATGTATCTTATCAAAAATTCATTCTTTTTTGCCATATGTATGTATTTCTTAGCAAAGTTGTTTTACTGTTTTCCAACCCAAGTTGTATAATTTTATTTTATTTCTAATAAAATAAGGCTAGCTTTGTGAAATCTTCACTACACAAATTCTATATAATATACACTACCATAGTAATGTGGAAAAGCATTAATTTCAAATTTAATTTACAAAAATTAAAAGTTGTTCTACTTTTTTTCAATACTGTACATGTCCCATACACAGGAAAAAATATAGAGTAAAAATCAACTCTAAAACATGGTTCAGATCGGTCCAATATATTTAGAGTTATTTTTTTGCACTATATAGTGTAGGTGAATAGATTAAAATTTTACACTAAATAGTGAAAGATGGTGTTTATTAAATAGTGTAAAATCGTTACTCTATAACAGTGTATTATATGTAATCTAACTAGATGTTGTCGTGACTCTAATTAGATACATTTCTAATCTAATCAGTGTAAATTATTAAAAATTCGCTCTAATTTTACTCTATTAATTGACAAAATATCACTAAATAGTGTGTATCTTACACTTATTAGTGTTAATTTTTAATAGGAAGTGGAGTATTTTTAGGGAAGTTTTACGTTTGTAATAAAAATCAAAATTATAAAATATTTGTTTTTATTTTTACTTGTAATATATTGTTATAACTTAAATT